CCCCTCCCAACTGGAAAAACAAGGAGACGTTAGGGAAAAGCTGGCAGGGTTTGTGCAGGCTGAGGTGGAATAGCTGCCAGCTTGATGGGAACTCCAGGTGAACCTGCCTGGGCTCCCACATCTGCTTGCACATCCAAGAGAGGCGTCAGGTGAAACAATGAGGGAGAGATGGAGAAGGAAATGGAACACAAGGTGGGAGCAAGGCATGGCCAGGGCACTCAGTATCCCAGCTGAGGTGGGACCAGGGCTCTCTGGGGCTCAGCCATCTCTATTCACTTATCGTCACCTTTAGCCCACCAGACAAAATGTGCAGCTGAATTAACCCCCTAGGAAGCAATAGCAAAATAAGCACAGAGCCTGTGTGCAAACATCCAATGAAAACAGCTCCAACCCAAAGGCATTGAGCTGGTTTTCATCCCCAGCTTTGATTCTGACACAGACAATGCCCCACTTGCCCCCAGCCCCACCACTGCTCTCACCTGTGGAGCCATCCAGGCCAGCCCTGGTGCTGGGCACCTTTTCTGGGAGCATCCTCCTGCACAGGTGAGTGTCCTCATGGTGCCCCTGGGTCTGCAGCGCTCATGTTCCTCGCCATGGGCAGGGATGCTCTCCACAGCCTGCATCCTGCTCCTGCTCCAGCCCTGCACTGACAGCCCTGCCAGCACCCACAGGGCCTGCATGGCCCAGCACAGCCTGGGAAGGACACTGAGCTCAGGTATGGTCAGTGGGAAGCCCCTCCAGGCACCAGGAGCGAGTTGGGCTGGCTGATGCTGCCTGGGGTGGGATCCTTCCCTGTGCTGTCCCCACCTGGTGCCACAGGGCTGCCCCGCCAGCACTGGAAAATCGTTGTCTTTTCATCAGGGGCTTTGCTGACTCTGTGCCAGCCCCAGGGGTCCCTGAGTGAGCCTCCCTGCAGTTCCTCCCTGATTGTGGACCAGTAAATGCTGCAGTCAGATAGTCCCTGATGGTCCCAGGAAGGTCCCAGTGCTGGTCAGGCAGGGTGGTGGCACTCCCAGGGATGCTACAGCCTCCCCAGCAAGCCAGGGCAGAGGATGGTTCTGCACCCAGCCTTGCCTTCCCCACTGAATTTCTCAGCCCATCTCCTGTGGCTCTGTCCCATCCGTGGCCAGGGACAGGGAGAGCTCCGTGCCCTCTGCTCCCATCTGCCAGTGCATTAGGAAAATGAGAGCTGATTAAAGCCCATCCCCTCCCGAGCACCATTGGTCCCAGCAAATTGCTGACACCACAGTCTGGGGGCTGTGTCAGCCAGGTGGGCTCCCCTCTGCCCACAGACATCCAGCTTTACATGGCTTTGGGGCTGCTTTGGGGTCTGAGCGTTTCCTCTGGTCACAAGAAGTTCTTTAACTGCAGAAAATGAATGTGTTAATTTGATTTTCTTCGTCCTGTTGCCTGTTAAGAGGTTGGTTCAGGCTTGAACCAACTGCTCTCCTTGCAGCCCTGCTCCTCCTGCTCAAGGATGCCAAGATGGGATGGGAAGGAAATTCTGTGTGCCCACAGCACCCCATTAACCCACAGCAACTGGAAGGCCCCTGTAGCACCAAAAATCTCCTGTTTCTGAAGGCAGGCCAGCTGGAAAGCCCCACTTCCCTCCCATTAATCTCCACCTGCCAGCACTTTCTAGAAGGCAGCTCAGAACATTGAAACTGGGGAGATTTGCAAAATAAACAGCGATCAAACGCAAAGCCCTGGGTTCCTGCTCTGAGGGCTTCTGCCAAGACACACAGATCGTATCAGGCTAATTTACAAAGGGAAAACCGCCCTAATTAGTGTTCAGGAAAGCACTTTAATGAGAAGAGCATTAGTGCAAAAAGCAAGGGTGCCAAGAGGTCAAGCCGTTCCTAATGCCAGAAAAACAGGAAATGGGGCACAGCTGATCCCTGCCCACCCAAGCCGCAGCACCAATTCCTCAATTTTTTAGTAATATCCCAGGCTGTTAGTGAGGAATTCAGAAATCCCAGAGTGCAAAGCCCAGAGGCAGGGCAGGGCCTCCATTGCAGCAAGCTCTGAGCATCACAATGTCAGGTGTGGAGAGGGCTCCCTGCAGCCACCTCCCCTCCTTTTTGGAGCAGAATGCAGATTTATGGGGTTCTCATGTAAAAGGAGGAGCAGAAGCCCTGTCAGTGCCACCTCCCCTCCTTTATGAGGAGAGTTTTATGGAGTTTCCCCTATGAAGTAAAGAGCCCTGTCAATGCCACCTCCCTTCCCTTTTGGGGCAGAATGCAGTTTTATGGGGTTTCCCCTGTGAAGGGAGGAGCAGAAGCCCTGTCAATGCCTCCTTTCCTCCTTTTTGGGGCAGAATGCAGGTTTTATGGGATTTCCTCTATAAAGGGAGGAGCAGAAGCCCTGCCAGTGCCATCTCCCCTCCTTTTTGGGGCAGAATGCAGGTTTTATGGGATTTCCCCTATAAAAAGAGGAGCAGAACCCCTGCCATGCCACAGCCCCTCTCTCGCTGCCAGCGGCTCTGCCAGTGGCCAGTAACCATGGCAGCAGCGGAGGGATTTGCACGTGATTTTGGCATTTCTACAGCACAAAAGAGCCTCTTATCCACAATGAGTGACTGCTCCGGCTGTCTTCATTCCTCTGCTCAGTGCTGAGGCATCGTGGGGCAGCTCGTGTGATGCTCACCATGGGGCAAATTCGGACCATCCAGGTGATGCTCACCTGGGACACATCCAGAGCATCCCTGGGGGCTCCAGGATGCTCCCCCAGCCCCAGCAGCAATCCCAGTGCGGGAGGCAGAGCCAGCCCTACCCATCATTTCTGGCAAATAAAACTGGGGAGGGAGCAGGGACGGTCCTGCTGAGCTCAGTTTGCAAAACGAGCATCTGCAAACCCTGTGAAGCTTTCTGGGCCACGCTGTTTGTCCCCAGGATGTCACAGCCCAGAGCTGCAGGGGTGCTCCCTGCCATCCCCACCACCTCATTTATCTCACTTCCCCAGTTGTTTACATTTCTTCTCAAATTTCTTCCAGTTTATCCAAGAAAACAGTTTTGAGCCTTTAACTGTTCCACTTCCAGCTCTCCTCATGCATCAAGGGGTTTGTAAAAGCCGGGAAAACCGCAGGAAAGAACAAAGGTTTCTAGGCTTCAATTCTTCAGGGGATCAAACCCTGATACTGCACAGATCCCCCTTGGACATTCACCCGAGGGCATGAACCAAAGTGGGAAAGTTTCATCCCAAAACCAGAACAGGTAAATGAGGAAAAAAAGAGAAATGAAAAGGTCATTGAGCCTCAGCTGCTGCTAACAGGAGCTGCCATGGCACCCATTGGTTGTGAACCCCTTTCCAAAAGGTGCTCTGGTGTTTTTTCAGGGTGCTCACTCCAGTGGGACCATTGCTGCACTTAAAAGGAGCTGTGTGCTCAGAGCAGGGAAAACCAGACTTTATTAGCTCCATTTTAGGGGAAGGCAAAAGGGATTCAGACAGATTTATATGCAAGTGTCACTCAAAGCAGAGCTACACAAAGGAAAAATATATATATAGACAGAAAAAGTGGGTTACAGACTGTTCCCAAACTATGAGTGTGTCCTGCTGGCTAAAGTCTGCAGGTTTCAAGGTTGAAGTGCCTAATTTTATTTCAAGCTTCCTAATTAAACACCATTTAACTGGGCTTTCCATTTATCCTGCAATTTCTTTCTGGACCCGAGTCTAATCCCCAAACCTGCTTATTTGCTTTTACTTTCGTTACAACCTTATCAGTGATTAACCTGCAGTTGCACTTAATCTTTTTAAAAGATTTCTCTGGCTATAAATACAGAGAAGCTACCTGCCCTGTTTCTGTCCAGGGGAAAATAACTCCCTCCACTGCCAGATGTCTTGGTGGGTTGCACTGTTCCTTCTGTCAGCTGATTTCTCTAATGGGAGGCATTTGTCTTCTCTAACTTCCTACAGAACATTGAATCAGTGTCAGTTCTCTGAAAGACACAGGCCACAAGGAATATGAATACGCCCCCAGTATAAAAAAAAAATAATTACATATATAAAAGTATAAATAGTATATATAAAGTCTCCAGTAAAGATGTTAGTGGTGACAGTGAGGCAAAACCTTCCACATTCCCACAGCTCCAAGGACAAGCTCTGCTCCTTCCTCCAGCACTTCTCTACTCCACTCATTTCACTAAAAAGCTGCAACAGCTAAAATATCACAGCAAGAAAACCTGGTTTCTATGGCAATAAGCAGCTGCCTGTCAAGATTCCCCAAGTGCTGCATTAATAGAAAAGAGGAACTCATATCAGATCGACCCCAGGCTTGAGGACACCAAGAGGAACGAGCAAAAGCTAATAAGAAATGCAGCAAAGGTACATGGAGTGTTACCAAACCCATCAGGAATGTTCCAAGGGCAGGGGAAGGAACACTGAGTGATGAGTGCCCTCTGCAAGGTATTTATTGGAGCCACTGCAAAGGAAGCCCACTGCAAATACAGAAAAACCTGGTAAGTGAATGGAATTTAAAAGTTAACAGAAGAAATCCAAGCCATGGCAACCCCAAAACAAGAGGCACTGAAGTCTCTGCCCTCATCTCTAAGCAGAGCAGAGCAAACAGACCTGAGCTCAACTCCCAGCCCAGCCTGCAAGTCTGGCCCTACCTTGACCTTAATTATTACCTGGAGAATAATCTCTCCAAAGAGCTAAAGCCATAAACAGATCACAGAGAGGGATAATTTCAGATCTCCCCATGGTTCCAGAATTACCAGTTGTGTATCCATCACCACCTCATGCTGCCTGTTGAAAACTAGGATCTTCAAGCAATCTTTTCTGTTTAAGAAAGCTTTTTTTCCCTCCTGTTGGTGATTAAAGACAAATTACAATTCTACTACCAGTATTATGTGAGCTCTGAGCCTCTTAATTATTTATTAAGAAATGATTATTTATTGGGAAATCTGACCTGCATGTGAGGATTTTCTGGCTCTGTCAGTGCATGAGTGAGCAAGAAGCCAAAATAACAGCTGGAATGTTGAAATAAATCCACACTAAATAAATTGTAATCTACATGGTGTTTATTGTAGATACAGTGAATTACGAGAGCAATTACAGCCCACTATTTATTTATAAGCTTTTTCTAAAGAAAATTAAATCATAGAAGTAAATCAGAGCCCCAGTTTGATTTTTGCATGTTTCCTGGTTTGATTACATAAATATTTAAAGAGTGGAAAAAACCTGCAACTTTTCACTCCCCATGAAAATCTTCTGCCTGGCAAATGGAAACCACTGGCAAATGACTGAGGATGAGAAATCTTCAGGGAGGTTTGGGTGAGTGCAGGCTCTCCCCTGCAATGTGATGGCTTCAGACCCCCCTGCAGTACAGGAGCTCATTAAATTTGTTTAAAAAGAAAGCAAGGCATTATTAACTAAGGCTGACACCTATTCTGGCTTTATTTTTTGCCACAGAAACCCATACAGTTTGCAAGAGAAGGGAGGGGAAAAAGCAACAAAAGGAGATCCCAGAGGAGGCGAAGGTCAGCCTGGATGGGAAGAGGGATGACCCAGGGGGTGACAGCAGCCCTGCCACCCCTCCCTGTGTCACAGCCAGACCTGTGGAACCTGCAGCACTGCTCCCTGCATCTGCTGAACCCCTGGGAGTGCCTTGGCCACGGGGACAGGGCTGCTCCCTGCAGCAAACCTGCCCCAGCTGCTCCACCACAGGATGGGAAGTGGCTCCTCTCTGTGGGAATGGACAGCCAAAACTCGGGGAGGATCTGCAAACCTCATCCAGCCCTGCCTCATGCGCTGCTCCCCAGCCCCTCTCAGCTCACTGTGCTGGGAGCTGGCTTGAGGAGGATGAGGAGGGAGCTGGTGGTGCTGGAGGAAGATGGGGCACCTTGAGCCATCAGCTGGTGCTGGTGCTGTTTGCCTTCCCCTCCAGCACAGCTGGGGCAGTGGCTTTGTGACTTGAGTGATGAGCAGCACCAGAGTGGCTTCTCTCTGTGGGAAATGTGGCCAGGAGCCAGTCTGAGTGGGCTGAAGAAGCCAGTCTGAAGCCAGTCTGAGGTGGCTGAAGGGCTGGAAGTTGCCTGATGGAAATGGGGATGCTACAGGAATGTGTCCCCTGTTGATGGAGTGACAGAACTCTCCTTTGTCCCCTCAAAAAGGAAAGGAGCCCAGAAGTTTCTCTCCTCAATTAGGTGAAAAGACATCTCATAGACGTAGGGGACTTCACCCCAAACTTAAGGACAGCCAACTGGACAGGGGCCAAAAAGTCCTGCCTGGGCAATTGACTAGAAAAAGAAGAGAACAAAGAAACCAATTGCTTTTGTGAGGTGTTTAACCAGGGGCAAGAATCTCCTGCACCTGGCTTGGTTTTTCTCTGTTTGTTATTTAGCCTTTTATTAAACCTTTTTGTTTCCAACACTGCAGCAGAAGCCATCCTGCTGATTTCTATGCGTCCAAAGGTAGCTGAGCTGTCTTGGGTGTGTTACGGACCTCTGAGAGCATGTGAGACCTGGCTGGAGGGGGCTCCTGTAACAGGATGGCACTGAGGCCCAGCAGGGAGTGCAGGGGAACTTGTTGGCATATGGCAGGCTCAGAGCTGACTCTGAAACACTGTCTGGGACAGGAGAGCACTCACTGCCCTTCTCTTTCCCCTCCCAGCTGGGAACTAACTCAGTTCTCCCTTCCTGCTCTCTGTTTATCCCTCCCAGCATTGGCAGCACAGAAAAATCCCAAGGCTGGAAACAAAACCTCCAGGAACATCTATCTCATCCAGGATTGTGCTTCTCCATCCTTGAAAGATGCTCATCAAATCTCCCCACAAGAGCCCCCAGTCATGGAGAGCCCACCACCTTCCCAGCAAGGATTCCTCCCCTGGCAAAGCCCAGGTGGTGTTGGCACCACGAGGGTCCCTCAGGCACCTTGCAGTCTGTGCACTGGGGACAGAGCTTGGCATTCTCATGACAGCTTGGTCTGTGAGCAAATCAAGCTCGGCCTGTGAGCATAGCCCACATCCTTTTCAGATGAATCACTCCCCACTGCTGCTGTCAACCTTGAGCCCAACAGAGAAACCTTGTTGTGGTTTTTTTCCCTGGGTTGTTTCCAGCCAAGTGGTGACTCAGCTGTCAGAGGTGAATAACTCTTCATGCTTTGTCTGAACACTCATTAACCATCCAGAGCCATAAAAAGCAATTTTTCCATAGCTCTCCCTCCACAAAGCAAGAGGGCTGACCTGAGATTTAGTGGGGAATTCATAAAGGTGCTCAACAGATCTGCAAGTGGAGAAACCTTACATGGTTCTGGGTCAAATGGCAGAGGGTTTTATCAGCAGTGATTGAGGGTCTGGGCAGAAGAGAGAGGCAGATCCTACCCACAGCACATAGCCAAAGCTACAGCCACTGCATGGAAATCATTAACAACAAGAATCTGCTGGCCCAGGCATTTGCCTGACTCCTACGCCTGCCCTGGGCCCTGCTGCTCTTTCATTGCTCTTCTTCCTTTTCATCTTTCTCTGAAATCTCAGCAGCAAGGATTTCCTCATCCTCTCTTGCTGTGGAGATCACACGGATGGTGACTGAGTGATCAGGAGATTCTGAGGATATTTCTCCTCCCGGGCGGGTTTGTGCTCTGCGGGATGCGACAGGAGATCTCTGGTGCACTGGTGACTTCGGTGGGGTTGGGCTGACACTGGAACCCTGCAATGAAAAGTTAAAAAAGAGACAAAAAAAAAAAAAAAAAACCTTAGCAGATCCTTGCTCACTATCCCTAATATGGCAAAGCTAGGCAGGAGTTCTGTGGTTCCAGCACAGGATTTCTGCACTGGGATGCCAGCTTGAGGCCAGAGGGGCTGCTGGATTCTATCCTGTATGTCTTGAGAAGCACAGAGAGGGGAGCAGAGCAGAGCTCTCCCACCTCTGCACTAACTCTTGGTGTCACAGACATCTTTTATGAAAAACCCTTTCCTTAGGATTTTTTCTCCTGAGAAGCTGAAAGGCCTCAGGAACAAAATGTAAACAATGGTTATCTGCTGCTGTGGAATGCAACACGTACATATGTGATTGGCCCATGTTGGTTATATCTAATTAATGGCCAATCACAGTCAGCTGGCCATTTGTTATCATTCCTTCCTATTCTATTCTTAGCCAGCCTTCTGAAGAAATCCCTTCTTCTTTTAGTATAGTTTTAATGTAATATATATAATAAAATAATAAATAAAGCCTTCTGAAACATGGAGTCAGATCCTCATCTCTCCCCTCTTCCTGGGACCCCTGTGAACACGGTCAGACTCTTGGTTTGCTCCTGAAGCTTCTGGAAGGGCTGGTCTTGGCCAAACCTGGCACTAGAGCTGCTGTGAGGGAGCAGCCCCAGCCTGCCCTGTGCTCCTTTGGAGAGGAGCATTAGAAGCCAGCCCCAGGGATGTGCCAAGGAGAGGGATGTCAGCAGGTCCTGCTCACCCACCACTGGGGTCAGTTCCCAGTTCATTCACCCTTCAGCACTTGTTTCAGAGCTTCTTTTGCCTCATTCAGAGCCCTCAGTGCCACTGTTCACTGCTGCTGTTAACTGGTTATGGATTAATGTTAAACACCACATGGTTTGAAGCTTCTCAAGCCTCTGGAGGGCTGCAGAAGTGCAGCTATGTTTGGCATCAGCCTGGTGTTTACCCAGCCCCAAGGTCACTGCACTGCCTGGCAGCTCCTCCCTCCCTCCCTGTGCACATCCAGATGTGATAAGTGTGCCTGGCTCCATGCTGAGAACAACAAAGCAGGGGCTGCATGGAGACAAAACTCTCCTTACAAGTTTGGCTGAGACAGTTGGAAATAAAAAAGGAGGGGAAAAAAAGGACAGAGCCATTTTCAGCTGCTCATGGCAAAAAGCAAGGAGTTCCTGCAGAGGTGGCAGGATGGCATTGCAGGCTGTGGGCACCTCTGTCCTGGCCACTTGGGGAAAGATTTGGGACATCAACTGGGCTGTGGGTGCATTGATTAATTGATTCATACATTGATTAATTATTAATCATAATTATGATTAATTATCCTGTCTCTGCAGGATAGAAGATACATTCATTCATCTATGGCTACAGCCCAGCTAGAAATTGGACTCAGGCGTAGCACAGGCAGGCAAAAATTTAACGTATTTCCCTTTTGTATAGCAAAACACTGGCACTCCACCAAAGACCTGTGCAAGATGCTGGGTCACCCCTTCCTGCCTGCCCACGCTTTGACAAACCCCAACATCCTGAGCTCGGTCTTTTAAGGCACCTTAACCACTCCAGAGCTGCTGGGGAGAGCACACTTGGTATCTAAGGAAGCAAAGCCGGATCTCTGCGCTCCCCGTGCTGACCTGCGCCTCCTGCATCGCCTGCATCGCCTGCGCTTCCTGCATCTCCTGCATCGCCTGCAGCTCCTGCAGCTCCTTCAGCCTCCAGCGGAGCCGCCCCAGGGGCCCCTTGCCCCCCATCCTCCCCGTGGCCGCCAGGGCAGCCCGGAACAGCTTTGGGGTCTCCGCTTTCGGGGGGATGACCAGCGCATCTCCGGGGCCTCCCTTCTCATCTTTGGGCTTGTTGTTGCTCCTCAGCATTTTCCTGCAGCACGGGAAGGGAGAGGTGGCGTCAGTCCGGGAACATTGTGTTAGCTGGATTTTATAATGCAGAGAAACCAAGCGTTAAAAGCAGCACAAGGAGCTTTGTGTGTCTTGGCGAGGACAGAACAACCAATCTGAGCGATGCTAAAAACTAAACCGAATCTTTACATGGATTTTTAAGCGAAGGCGCTTTGGCCATGCTCCTTGCCCAGCTCCACCCGCTGTGGACAACAAATCTGAGCGATGCTAAATGTTAAACCGAATCTTCACAGGGATTTTTAAGCGAAGGCGCTTTGGCCGCACTCCGTGCCCAGCTCCAGCCGCT